GGAGGTGTGCTGGGTGTGAGTCCGGTCCTGGGAGGTGTGCTGGGTGTGAGTCTGGTCCTGGAAGGTGTGCTGGGTGTGAGTCTGGTCCCTGGAGCTACAGGAGCAGTTACATGAGACACTGCAGAGAGACCACGAGGAGCTCTTGTGCTCAGTGCACACAGGCAGTAAACATGGTGAAGGTTCTCCTGGGAACGTTGCTCTGGGCGGTGGCTGGAGGCTTCATGCCCAGGCTGCCTCTGGTTCCTTGCCCCGTGGGCCTCCTGGGACAAACGGCTTCACCTGATGGGCCCCGGGCCGCTGTGGCATGAGTGCCTTGCCTGGGCTTGTGGTCTCGGTTGCCCTTGGGCCTCCTGGGTAAGGTGCCAATGGCTTTGCCTGGGTTCCTGCTGGCGGTCACTCCCAGGGCTGTGCTCTGTGGGAGCCCGGCTGTTCCCGGGGAGCAGAGCCAGAACTTCATCAGGAGAACCTTGAACCCAGCATTTGGTGTCCTGAGGGGACATGACCAGGACAACCTGGGATGTCACCATGTGGGAAGGAGTGGGTCTCCCCCCGCAGGACTGAGGTGTGGAGTGGGGTGGTGTCGGGCTGTCTCCTCAGAGGGCTCCAGACAGCACTGCCTTGTCCAGGCCCAGCTCTTGGCTTAGAGACTGGCAAGCTGATTTTGCCAATCTGCTGGCCTCCATGCCAGCCTCCTTGTCCCCTGCAGCCTGCATCCCCCTTGCAACTTTATACGTCCCTGAAGCCTTATGTCCCCTGCACCATTACGTCTCCCCACAGCCTCATGTCCACCACCTGCACCCTATGTTTCCCCTCAGCCCTATGTCTGCCCGAAGCTTTACGTCTCCCCGTAGCCTTATGTCTCCCCACAGCCGTGTCTCCTGGCAGCCCCGTGTCTCCCAGCAGCCTCGTGTCTCCCTATTTCTCCCCTTAGCCCTAATATCTCCTCACCGCCCCGTGTCTCCCTGCAGCCCTGTGTCTTCTCCTCACCGCCCCGTGTCTCCCAGTTCCACCATGTCTCCCGGCAGCCCCATGTCTCCCTGCAGCCCTATTTCTCCCCGCAGCCCCGTGTCTCCCGGCAGCCCCGTGTCTCCCCGCAGCCCCGTGTCTCCCCGGAGCCTTAGGTCTCCCAGCAGCCCTGTGCTGCTCATCTTTCTGTGAGGCAGGTCTGGCCAGGCTTCCCTGCTGACCCTCGGCTGAGTTCCTCAGATGCAGCAGCTCCGGGGCTCCTCAGAGCTCTGACCTGCTGTCCCTCCTTTCCCCTCTCAGTTCTTTCTCCTCACCTGAAGTCGCCTCCCACCCCCTGGCAGCAGGATGTGCCCTTCCCTCAGCTGGCCTCTCCTCCTCCCAGACTGACCTGGGCACCATTGGGTCCCCACGCACTGATGCTTGACTGTGGTGTTTGCCCGTCTCCTCTGGTACACAGTGACCTCATAAGCGTGGCACTTGGCGTGTGAAGGGACTCAGGGTGTTCTGTGGAATGAGTGCATGCTTGAGAAGTCAGCCAGGTCCCTGACAGGGGCACTCAGGCCGGGTGGCTGCCAGGGGCACCAGAGGAGGAGTGCTGCATCCAACCTGGATCAACTCACGGAGGCCTTTGGCATCGGGCTCTGGGCTCGACTTGGATCAGCTCGCGGAGCCCTTTGGTGCAGGGGCTCTGGGGTTCTATGAAGTGTGTAAAGCACTTTTGAGACTTGTTTGGGTCAGTGTTACTGTCTTTGGAAGTTGGGGTAGAATGGGATCGAAACGTAGTTAGCAGGTAGAGTTTACTGCTAATGATACTTGAGGGCCTGGAGGGTGAGTTACAGGAAATGCTGCTCTTTGTCTGGGATTACACAACTGTCCTTCACTAGTTCGTCCTTTGCTATCACTGGTAGACACAGCTGGGCAGGCCCAAACACAGTCAGATAGACACAGCCGGGCAGGCACAGCCGGGCGGACACAGCCAGATAGACACAGCCGGGCGGGCACAGCCAAAGGTGCTGAGCTCCCAGGGAGCACTGACGTCCCCGATTGTTCCGTTTGCTGACCCCATGCTCCCCCTGCGTGTCGTTTCTTCACACTTTGACAACAGCTCTCTAGTGAGGATGCCGTGCGCAGAGTCCTGGCTGGAGAGAAGGCCGATGGGAAGAGAAAGACATCCAAATCTCAGGAACCGGAGAACAGGAACTCCAAAGAGGAGGAGCCCCGCGTTCACAAGAACAAAGAGGTGAACCTCAGTGTTGAGTGTCGTCCCGGAGGGTGGAATCGTGTGTTGCCCCTGGTTCAGGTCAAAGCATTCATCGATGATAACTGCTGTTTGACTGTTTCAGGACAGAAGAAACTCTGAAATAAAAGACAGAAGTCTGAGCAGAGATCACAAACAGAGGGAAGACTTGAAAGAAGAAAGCAAACCCAGAGAGAAGGAGAGGGCCAAGGAGATGGAGAGGGCCAAGGAGACAGAGAGGGCCAAGGAGACGGAGAGGGCCAAGGAGACGGAGAGGGCCAAGGAGAAGGAGAGGGCCAAGGGGAGTGACAGGGACAGACAGAAGGACCCCGAGAGAGACAGGTACCGGGAGGGAGAGAGAGAGAACCGGCCCAAGCACGAGAGGGACAAGGACCGCGCCAACAGAGACAGGGCCAAGGAGGCGGACCGCGACAAGGAGAGGGAGCGGAAGACCGAGGGAGGACGCGAGAGGGAGCGGTGGAAGGAGCGAGACGCAGAGCGGGAGCGAGACAGGGCCAGACGCCGAGGGAAGGCCGGGGAGCACCCCCGGGAGCCCGATGGGGACAAGAGCCGGGAGCACGAGAAGCCGGAGAGAAGGGTAAGGTCTTGGCTTCGTCTCGGCTGCACTCAGCAGTGTCTGGGTGGCTCCCCACCGTGGTCCTTCTGTGCACGGTAACGGGTGGCTCAGGTTCAGTGCTGGACTGCTTACCAAGAGGTTGGTTCAAGTCCACCAGGAGGCGCCTCGGAAGAAAGACCTGGCTGTCTGCTCTGGAGGTCACAGCCTTGCGACCCGGTGGAGAGCATTTCTGCTCAGACACGTGGGGTCGCCGTGAGTTGCAGTTCACTCGAGGGCAACTGGCTGTTTTTGTCGTGTGATTAGGAAGTGGGTTTCCTTTCATGCCCATGCAAAATGATGACAGTCTTGAATTCCTAGTCGTAGCCCAAAGAGATGCCCGTTTCCTGCCAGACTTACTGCTCCCCTCTGTGTGTAGACGTCTTGGTCCCCTCTGTGTGTGGGTGTCTTTGGTCCCCTCTGTTTGGACTTCTTTGGTCCCCTCTGTGTTTGGGCGTCTTTGGTTCCCTCTGTGTTTGAGCGTCTTTGGTCCCCTGTGTGTGTGGACGTCTTTGGTCCCATGTGTGTGTGGACATCTTTGGTCCCCTGTGTGTGTGGACGTCTTTGGTCCCCTGTATGTGTGGATGTCTTTGGTCCCCTGTGTGTGTGGACGTCTTTGGTCCCCTGTGTGTGTGGATGTCTTTGGTCCTCTCTGTGTGTGGGTGTCTTTGCTCCTCTCTGGGTGTGGACATCTTTGGTCCCCTCTGTGTTTGGATGTCTTAGGTCCTGTCTGTGTGTGGATGTCTTAGGTTCTCTCTGTGTGTGAATGTCTTTGGTCCCCTCTGTGTGTGGACGTCTTTGGTCCCCTGTGTGTGTGGATGTCTTTGGTCCTCTCTGTGTGTGGATGTCTTTGGTCCCCTGTGGGTGTGGGTGTCTTTGCTCCTCTCTGTGTGTGGACGTCTTTGGTCCCTTCTGCGTGTGGGGAGGTCCTTTGGAAATCCCCGGAGAACCCCAATAAAGCCACATCTTGGTGGTGATGAGATTTGTTGTTACTGTGAAAATACACGTAACAGAGTATTTGTCAATTCAGCAAGTCCTGTGTGTGTGATTTAGGGACACTGATGTCCTTCTTCATGTTGTGTAACCATTGCCGCTGTCCTGTTAGAAGGGAGGGTGGCGAGACTGTCCCTGGAGGACACCATGCTGGGTAGGGGAGAGGGTCAGGGAGAAAGGAAGACCGTCAAGGAGGTGAACCCATGCAGTGGCTGCCATGATGGGCTCAGACAGGGTGATGTGGGGCTGGTGCTGGGCCGGGCAGTGTTCCCTGATGTTGTGCATGGGGTCGCTGTGAGTCAGAGCTGACGTGACAACACTGAACAACGATATTCTGAATTACCGCCCCATGAAATGCTCTTCTTTTGGGAATAGTTTTCCTGCTGTTGGTCAGCATTACATCAAATGTTTTGACATACTTTTAGATGTTACAGTGTTGTTACGAATTTGAATCTTCTAAACTTTGAAGTATTTTTCTTTTTTTTTTTTTTCGTAGTCTACAGGCCCAGGAGAGATTTCTAAAAAGACATCAGATGGATTTTCTAGAGACCTGAAGGCCGACACGGAGGTAACCTATAAGCGTGATTGCAGGAGCCTGAGCAGGTGGCCGCGGTGAAGTGCTAAATACTGCGCCCCCATCCTCTCACAGCCCCTTGAGATCGGGAGGAGCGCACGGGGCAGGCTCCCCTCAGCGGACCCGGGTCGGTGCTGCTATGAGAGTGAAGATTTCTGTTGGGTTGCTGTTGTTGGGGGCTGTTGAGTCAGCTCCTTATTGCCTGGTACATTGGTCATGGTTTAATCTGTGTCTTTCCGTGCTGGACCCCTGCCCGAACCTGACCCTTTGCCTGACAAGCAAGCTGCCTGGTGCGCAGAGGATAGAGTGGTCAGTTGGGCAGAGTGGGGGTGGCACTTCTGAAGAGTCTGGGCGGGAGTGAGTCATCAGGCAGACGGACAGGGAGGGCCAGGTGGAGGGACCCCACGGCGGGGGCACAGCAGAGGCCGGGCCAGGTACCTCCCTGTACACTGGCCTCTGGAGGTGAGACTTACTTCATCCCAGCGTCAGGGAGCCACTGAAGGGTCCTAACCCACTCTCAGACATCCGGTTTCCGTTTCAGAAGGTGTGTTTAGGCAGCTGTGGGGGCGGTGAGTGAGTGGTGGGGTGGCGGCTGAGGGCCAGTTTGGGGACCGTGTAGCAGCTTGGCGGGCAGCTGAAGTCCCTGACACGGTGTGTACTTTTCCACATTCACAGTTTACGGGCGTGTCTAAGTAGCTGAGTCTGCTGCAGGAGAGGCTAAGTCCTCGTATGCACGTGTGGGGCCTGCGTGCTTCTCAGCATGTGTCAGCAGATGGTGCCCTTCCCAGGGTTCTAAATGTTGGGGGCAGGTCTCCCTCCCTGTTCACTCATGTCCCAGCCTCGAAGCGTGTGGATGCCACGGTGGTGGTCCCCACCTGGGCTTTCCAGCAGAGCCTGAGTGACCGCCATGCCAACGGTATGGCTGTGTCATGCCTCAGCTGACTGTCTGCCTTTCTCTTGTCTTTAAGGCTGATGTTTCTCCGAGAGCGTCCAGGTCCCTGACAATGAAAACGTCAAAACGGCGATCGAAACATTCCATGGAAGGTACCGAACTCTGGTTGTGTGCTAAGCGGGGGGCTGACATGGTGCTTCTGTCGTCAGTCAGCGTCAGGCTCCTGCCTCAGGTGCTCAGGTGGCTGGAGAGCAGGTCTGCCTTGGGGTGGAATGAACGGACGATGTGACGGTGACAGCGAGCTGCGGCTCTGGCCCCCACACGTGTGCATCCGGAGGCCCCAGGGCAGAGCAGACCTCTGGTGGAGGCCTGGGATGAGCTGTGCAGTGTCATGGGAGGTGTGAGCGATTTGAACTTGTCAGAGGTAGTTAGCTGCCATTCACGTCTGCGCTGAGGCTGAGTGGAACCCTGACGTCGGGGCTGAGGGAGGACACAGGCGGTGGCTGTTGGTGGGTTTCACAGATGAGCATAACGGAGCCTGGGAACTGTGCATAAGACTCAAGCTGGTAGGTCTGGCCCAGGGTCGTCCAGGGGTACCCTCCTCACAACAGGCCAAGAGGGAGGAAGAGAGCGCCGAAGAGGGAGGAAGAGAGCGCCGCCAACCGCAGAGACGGCAGAGACGGGTGCTGGAGGTTCAGCTGTCGTTGGAGGACAGAGCTCGTTTGATGTGCAGTGCCCCCTTGTGACGGGCTGTCCTTGTCCTAAGCCACGTGAACGGTGGAATGGTGCTGAGGGCGTCATCCTTGGGCCTTGTGTTTAGAAGTCAATGCCAGTGGCAGGTTCTGTTGCGTCACGATGTGGAGTGAGTCTGTCGCAGGTGTCTTTGTGCGGGAGCTTTGGGTGAAGTTTCAGACGTTCTCTGTGCCTTGGGCTCCTGGGCGTGGGGTCACTGCTGGCAGGGGTGGTCTTGGCTGCGGGTGTCACCCACGGGACCTGCACCCTTGCCTTCTCCTGTTTGTGGAAAGGGCTGGGTCGGCACGAAGCAGGGTGTTCTGTGCCTTTGATCCTGAGTGGATGCGGCATTTGTCCCTGTGGGGGTTGTCACGTGCCACCCTGCTCTGCCCTGCTTCTCCCTGCTGCCTCTGTTGGGCCCTGTATGCACAGGACGTGCCGGATTTTGGGTAAGGGCCTCTCCTGAGTTCTCGGTTATACCTGGCTGGCCTCTGACTGGCCTGAGCGCCTGGGCTTTAGATGCTGGAAGCTGCTTGTCTTTTTTAAAGAATCGTCCAGAAATTGGATAGATTTGTTTTTTGTGCTGTGTTTTTGTGCTTTTTTTTTTTCAGTTGTCTGCTGTTTTAAGTTATGGTGTGAGGCCAGGCTCCAAATTTGCTTTTCCAGAATCAGGCAGCACCAGCTGTTGGAGGTGAGGTCCCTCCTCCGAGCCGTGTTCCTCCCCCTTGACCGTGGTGCCCACACACTCCTCGTACGGAGTTTGGTTTTGTTTTGCTTTCTGCTGCTGTCTGTTTTACTGCAACTTGCCTATCATTGTTCTCTGCAAAGAGTTTGAAGCTGTGTTATGTTTATTCTTTGAGCTAAATTTTAAAGTCCCTTCACAGTTCAAAGAATCCCACTCCCACAACACGAGAGACCAGAATGATTTGGCAGGATTCATTGTACCTGTAGGAGTTGTGTTCTATTTATCTGGGGAAGGTGGACACGTCTGACTTCAACATGGAAAAGGCATCTCCCCTCTCTAGAAAGATCTGTGTGTGTGTGAGTGTGTGCGTGCATGTTAGCATGTACATGTATACGTATGCCTGTGCGTGCACGTGTGTATGTATGTGCACGTGCATGCTGTGCATGCATGTACGCACATATATGCAAGCATGTACGCATATTTGCACACATGCATACAGGTGCTGTATATGTGTGCGCACACGTGTGGGCATGTGTGTGCGCACATGCGTATGTGGGGGTACGCATGAGTGTGTGCATGCACACATGTGTGCTGCAGTGCACATGTGTGTGCATGCATGTATGTGCATGTGCTGCTGTATGCATGCATGCACACTGTATATGCACACGTGTGTACATGCATATGAGTGCTGTGTGTGCACCTGCGTGTGTTGTATGTGTGTGCAGTGTGCGTGTGTGCATGCATATGTGCATATGCACAGATGCATGTGCGCATGTGTTACGTATATGTGTGTGCTGTGTGCATGTGTGTGCATATGCACAGGTGTGTGTATGTATGTGCATGTGTGCTGTATGTGTGTACACACATGTGTGTGGGTGTGTGCATACATGCGTGCTCATGTTAACCGAGGTGTTTCTCAAGAGTTTGTTCCATTGTGAGGGTGCTTTGGGGAATGGTGTCTTTTCCTTCATTCTCTAATGCCAGCTCTTGGTGTGTAGGTGTCTTACTGAGTCCTGTGACTGTCCTGTAGTCTGGCCCCATGGCTTAATCCTGGCCCCACAGTGCCGCCGAGATGCCTTTGGTTCACAAGCCGACCGCGGCGTGCTCAGCGTTTCCACTCTGATGACCCGGTCTGTGCCCCATGTTTACCGGGGAGACTGTGCTGCGGGCCTCTTTCTGCACAGGCCCTGAGGGGATCTCCAATCAGGGCTTTGCAAGCTTTATGACATTAAGCTTTGCCAAGGTCAACACTGGGCTGGACTTCTCTTCCCTGCTGCTCTCTGGGCACCGCCCCCTCTGTGAGCCTTCCCAGCAGACACTGCCATGCCCACTGGCATCCTGGCTGGCTTAAATAGTAGGCATCTGGGCCAATGTCCAGCTCCTGGCAGGTGCCTAGGCCATAGGACCCGTGTGCTCTCTTCAAGGGCACGAGCCTTGCCCTCGCTCCAGAGTGGGAGCCTGCCGTGTTTGGTAAACACGTGTACAGTTTGGAAGCCACTGGGTGGTGCCTTGGGGCTGCAGAGATGCTGTGGGGGAGGGTACGGCAGGCGACGCTTGCTCCTAGGGAGTGTCCCGGCAGAGCAGGTGACTGAGCTGTGAAGGGATGTGGCTGCAGGACTCGGTTTGCACCTGTTTTCCTCGTGTGGTTTCGTGTCAGGAAGAAGGGCCTGCAGGACCAGTGAATGTGTCTTTCCCCTGACAAGGACCGCGGCTCTTCCTGCAGGAAGGCTCGGGGGGAGGCGGCTGGAGGCAGCGGGGCAAGGTGGACACGCGGTCGCCGGGAGCGCGTGGACGGGGCGGGGCAAGGTGGAGGTGGCACGCGGACGCTGGGGCCGTGTGGATGGGGCGGGGCAAGGTGGAGGTGAACACGTGGACGCCGGGGGCGCGTGGACCAGGCGGGGCAAGGTGGAGGTGGCACGCGGATGCCGGGGGCGCGTGGACGGGGCGGGGCAAGGTGGAGGTGACACGCGGATGCCGGGAGCGCGTGGATGGGGCGGGGAGCCCTTCAGTGTCCTGACCTTCTGCTTGCCTGTGAGCCTTCACAGGTGGAGCTCGGTAGGGGCCCAGTGGGGGTTGTGCAGCAAAGATGTGGGGCTGCGGAGTGGGCCCGCCCCGTCAGGGGACCTGGGGCAGAGCGTTGTGGGGGAAGGTGCTCAGCCAGTGCCTGGAGACTGGGGATACATCAGAGAAGTGGGGGAGGGGGCCGTCCTGGGGCCTAGAGAAGGAGGGGCCCTGCAGGGAGGCAGGGAGGGGACTGTCCGGGGGGGAGGGGGACGCCTGTGGACACTTGTGCTGGACCGAGTCGCCCAGAGTCTGAGGACTGACCACCGAGCCTGCCATGACAGAGCCTGCCAGCAACCTCGACCTAGAACCCTGTAAAACCTCACTAAGACAGTCATGAAAGCCAGTGCGACGTTTTAACGTGCTGTTAACTATTTCATGTCAGGAAGAGAGGAAGATCATATTTCAGCTAAAAGTTTAGACCCTGTAGTGTTGGCACTGAGTCACCAGCTGGAGCAGGAAGTGGCAGCTTCTGGAAT